CCCCCCCCCCCCCCCCGGATGGCAGCAACTCGGAAAAATTTGACTAACGTTCGAAAATTCCTAGATCCGCCCCTGGGGGGAGGGCAGGAGGGGCAGCCGGCCCCGTTGCCCTTTACCAGGAGGGGCAAGGGGGCAAAGGTGCCCTTTCAATTTAAAGGATTGCCTTAAATAGCGAATTGTCAGAAATGTTAGTGCAATTCTTTTACGAATTTGCTTCAGAAAGGCGCAAGAAATGCAGTCATCGAGCTTCAAGAATAGCTAAATCGCCTGGCGGAGAACCCCCTCACACCCCTATCATCCAATAAATAGAAAACATGATTAGGCGAAGTTCAACTCCCGATGTTTTGCGAACATCTCTTAGTATATATCAATTCAAAAGTGCCCTTTCACGAAAATTTGCCCCCTCTTGCCTTCACATCGTTCCGGCGTCCCTGCATGCAATTTGTCAAAAATTAATTCATTATTTAATTCATCAATTCATTCATTATTTATAATTTACATGTATTTACGGAGGCTGAGGGAAAAATTATTACATCACGTGCTAAATTTTTTCTAACATGCAATTTTTCAAAAATTAATTCATTATTTAATTTATCAATTCATTCATTATTTATAATTTACATGTATTTATTGAGGCCGAGGGAAATAGCGTGGTTTAGTGACCTAAAAACCGACGAGCGGACAAAGTGATCACAAAACGCTATTTTACCGAAGTTTCGATGTTTGTTTTACATGCATTTCAAGTGTCAAATGACAACATCGGGTTACATCGCTTTAATTAAATCTTAAATTATGATCAAAATTTCGGTTTTGTTATTTTCCCCCAAGGAAAGATAAATGAAATGTTGCCAGTTTCTCTGTAAAATATAAATGTAATATTGCCGGTTGACCTGGGAAATATAAATCCCATTGGGCCATTGGCATTGTTTACGAGAAAACATCGCCGTTTTTACACCGCCACGCGTGGGCGTTTGGTTCATTCAAAGGCTGGCAGGAAAAACGAACATTCACACTTGGTATAGACCATTTGCAGCATTACTAAAGCATAGCATTATACGGGCATAGCCTCGACTTCATTTTTTGAAAACAGACAGAAACTTCAAAAATTTCGCAAGACTGAATAAAATTTAAAAAAAATCAAAGAATATAGTCGAGGCCACAGCATAGAAACTTACAGAAGGCCAACTCAGCCAAAAAAGCGTATACGCCTCTACACCATCAAAATGCACTCGCCATGTTCCTAGCCAGTGCGGTAACGAGAGGCGTTCACCTCCCTGAACATCCGAAATTTTGAATATTCTCAGGGGAGTGAATGCCTCTGATAAGCGCACCGCCTAGGAACATGACGACAACATTGCAACGATTACACCAAAATCATAGGCCAAACCAAGACGTCGACCTTCTGTAAGGTCTCTATTCTGTGTCGAGGCTGTGCGTGTATAATGCTACGTTCCAATAATTCCACATATGGTCCATTACGTCCATACATACCAAAAACACACATAATAAACATAGTTCTTACTGGTCTCTACACATTACTTTACCAGTAACTAATCCTGGATTCTTTTCCAATCAACTTTATGTGACGCATCTGTACAATTGTCAATTGCCTTTCTAAACTGTTGCCGTTAAAAATCAACAGATAACCAAAAATTAGATACATGCATTTATAAGTGATAACAGTAGTTTGTCTCTAAAATTTTCCACATGTTTTTATCTTAAGATATTATTACTATTTCTACAGTCACATGGTGCAGTGATGCAGAAAAATTCTCCACACCGGCAACCAATTCCCCATGCTATGCAACTCTAATTCAGTCTTAAGTACTATTTAAAGCAAGAGTTTTAGGAGTGTTTTAAGACAGGACCAGATGAAACTTTTTGTAATAATTCACAACACTTTCGGTAATAATATGGCAGGATGAAATGTCATTTTAAACCTCAAATTCGGACTGGATCAGATTTCACGTCCTCGTAGTTTGCTGGAACAAACTGTTTGGACTTGAAACCCGGTCTTAATTTTTCGATTAATTAAAAATAGTACGTCGCTGTTTTAAAATTTCCATATATTTATACTTACTTTCGATGCAGTTCAACTCTGTCTTCTAGACGTGGGCCTCGCCAATATTGGTCCCGATCAATGTATTCCCACTTATGCTGGATTCGGCACCGTCCAGGTATGCGCCTTCCACACGCGAGTAAAGGAGCTTCGTCTTCGTCCACTTGCACTTACGAGCTTTAACTCCCACCAAGTTACTGTGACTGATCAATGTGTCATTAAATTTTGAACCAGACATCCTTGTCCCTGCTAGTTCTGCAAACAACATGACAACTTCAGTGAATGTGCATCCCTCCAGAGACGAATTTGTGAAATCGGAATGGCTGAAATCTGATCCAGTGAGGTCTGACTTTTCGAGGTTAGTAATTTTCTTTGGCAAATGTGGTCGATAAATAGGGAGAACAAGATGATCCTCAGGAAGGACTTTTTTGAAGGTTTTCTTCAAAAATTTGGCTAATGAGGGCTTTTCTTCTCGAAGCTGGTTGAAAGACTCTAAAACATTTGGACATCGAATTAAAATGTGTATTGGATTGTAAGTGAGACACGGCACTCGACGCTCCGTGTAATGAGAGTCAATAACAGACTCACAAAAGTATTGGTGGTAAATGGTGCAATTTTCATGTTGAGAATTTTCATTGTGAGAAGATTCTATGAACGACTCGTTGCAATAGAGACAATCTTTGACCGCGTCGGTTTCATCCTTGCCCATGTCATCTTCCTCGTTTTTCAACTTCTTCGTTTCATCATTTTTCAATTCAAGAAACTGACCGCGATAACCATACTTGCTTGTGTCACAAGCATTTTTTGCCTTCTTATTGGCCTTCTTAACAAAATATTCAAATTCCGCGCCATCCTTTTCGAAAATCATTTTTCGCAAGCCAGGTTGTCGAAAAACATCCGGCGCAAACCACTTATCACCTTCCCTCGTCAGTAATTCCGTCTTCTTTAATTTGCCATCTTGTAGTACTTTCTTTATTAAAGTGTTTCTGCCGAGGTTCTCGTTTTCCTTCCATTTTGATAACATCAAATCGACAGCACACTTCGCTAAAAGATTAATTTGCGTTTCGTCTTCCAATTCAACCACTTGGTACTCGAACATACGAGACAACTCCCTGGCAACATCCCTGATGATGCATTTTAATTCAGAATGAACGTAGATCTCCATTTTCTCATCTAGCGTTTTGGCATTTGCTTTCTTTTTTCTTTGATCAAGTTTCGTGACAGTGAAGGTTATACCAGCTACTGCAGCGCCAACAAGGGAACCAATACCGAACGTTCCAATACTTAATCCTAGTGTTGTTACGCTAGCAACGCCAAGGACAATAGACGTCACCGTTCCAGCATCGCTTAAACTCTTTGGGATTGGCCCGATGTTGGGATCTGTTAGGTTACCTTTGTTAATCTTCAATTGATCTAAGAATTCGTCTACAATCTGCTCTTCGAAATGTTTACAACAATCTTCCCTTTTTCGCATGGTCTAAATAAAAATATTTATAATTGTGTTTGGTTCATAAAATGTTGCAGTGTGCTCTATAAAATAAGGATACTTAATTTAAAGAGAGCCATCCGTAAACAGTTTATATTTTTCAATGATTAACTAAAGGCTACGTAGTTACATTTGGTTGCTTCTTGCAACATATTCAGAGCAAAAAGAAATACTATATAGCTACGTCTTTTTTATGCAGCGTTACTATAGGGTGTACGAAAAGGAAATGTCCGTCAAACTGCAAACTTTTATACAAGCATGGGTAGTTTGGGGTCTGCTAGTGTCTTTACAACTAAAATTATTTTGAAAAGTAAATTTTCGAGTAGTTGCGTAATGGTGGAAGATGTAACTAAAAGTAACAGTGTTTTTATAGTATGTTAACACTGTACTTGGACAATAGTACAAAAGCTCGATTATACATGCATACGAAACAAACATGGGATTATAACAAAAGGTGATTTAAATTTTAGATTGTCTATTTATAAATGTGTAAATTAATTGGGAGGTTAGCCTCACATGGGCTCTTACGACCCGTTCGCTACTTCCCGTTTGGGAACAGTCCTTTCTTACTTGTGTGTGTGTGCGTGTGTATTCTAAAGAAATCAGTTCCTAATAAAGCTGTTAAATAAATAAACTGTGAATAGATCGATGATAAATATTTTCGCAACTTATAATCACCCAGGATCCAAAACTCTGCCCTTAATAAGGGATAACTCTGCCCATAAACAACTGAACATTTATTTACCTTGTCTTTAGAAGGTTTTTGACCGTCATTCGCGTCTCCTTGGAAAGATGAAGCACCATTTTCTGTATTAAAGCATAACATTTCTTGTTGAAACATAGCATTCTATTATTCCAACATTGTCATTGAAAAGGCGTTTTACAGTAAATAGCAATAGTTTGTTTTCACGTTTTTGTTGCAGATAGAGAAGACCAGACACACATTATTCAAAGCTATTCAGAAGGAATGCGATACAAGATGTACATGGGATAAAAAATTTCTGTATGAAACACATTTGGTGAACGTTTACTGTAACGTCTTATATATTTGTAAACAGAACTTTACTTACCTTGCATTGGAGCAATACCAGATTCAATGTTCTCCTACACGAAGAGTTAAAAGCAAAAATTCAAACCAATGAACTAGACGTGCGCTTTCATGGAAATACATTACACCATGACCTGCCCCGAGTGAATTATACAGACTGTTAAGGACCTATACAGTATAATTGATTTTATGCCGTTGTAATGTCTCTATACTAACGGCATGTCCTAGTGTACGTCAACATTTGCTTCATACTCGTTCTTATGTAATATATACGAAGGCCAATTTTTTTCTTACAGCATTATTCGTTGAAAGGAAATTGAGGGGAGGAGATTCCGGCTGTTTTAGCGGGGTAGGTGCCCAAATTTTGTCACGGATTGTAGGTATAACGTAATATGTAACTATGTTCAATGATGATGTTGATGATGATGATGATGAATATTTAATCAGGTAACCTACTCGCCAAGGCGAT